AGAGGAAAAGTGGCTTCAAGATCAACCAACAACAAAACAATCAAAAAAACTTTTTTCTTTTTAATGAGGAAAAGCAAAGAATAAGGTAGAGGTACTGAAAAAAAATTGCTGATTAATAAGAGGAGAAGTTTACCGTTTTGTTTTCAACCACCCCAAAAATGAAAACTTTTCTAACACACACACACACACACACACAATATATATATATATATAAACAAAAATAATCATCCACCTCCCAAAAATAAAAATCCAATACTAACACACATACACAAAGAAAGATGGTGAATGCAAGAATTATGCTGTTTGAACAAGTACGTTTATCAAAAGAAAAAAATAAAGTAAACGGACGCACATACATGATTTTCAACTAGAATAATATAAGACAGAGAAGAGCAGTTATTTCTTTAACGATCCAAATGGAAGATGCAAAATTTGAATAAATACTTGATGAATAGCTTTGTTAATCAATTACATGCATATAAACTAAAACAAGGAAAAACTCTCCTTGATTCTTAAAACAAAACAAAATAAAAGCCATCCTTCGAGCATGACCAGAAACTGAAGCATTTACCCTTCAGAAGAGAGCAGGATGCCTTGGAGAACAGACTTACAGGCCCTTGCAGCAGTAGCACTTATGCACATAATAAAGCCAAATAAGTGAAAACCTGGCTCTCCCTGTCATCGACAAAAAATTTCAAAGCTAAGACCTTCATTGAAATTAGGAGCTAACAGGAGAAATCAATGTCGGATGCCATCTAGTAAATGAAAATTAACTTAAAAAATAAAGCCGAACGAGAAGTTGCAGCTGAATGGCAAAATACAAACAAGAAATCGAATCCTTACAAATCATAGCAATTAGGAAACCACCAATCCACAGTATTTTATATGCTAATGAGTAGACTAGCTAGAACATAAAACTATCAGCAACTCAATCTCCTGCTGCTTCAGTAGATACTGGGTTACTCTCAAAGTGATTCATGTGAAAACCACCAAACAATGCCAATGAGAATCAGCATTCTTGCTGTTACGAACTTGCACCAGAAAGTGATTGCACTTTTAAGAAATGCACATTCCCATTATGACCCACCGTTTTCTAACCCGACAAACAAAGAAAATAAAAGGATCAGCTTATCATATGTGACATCTGAGATCAGAACATATACATAGCACAATAGCATGCATAAATTATCACACATAAACACAAGGTAACAAGATCCTGGATCTGCATTACCATTGTCAATTGGCATGGCTCGCAATACAAGAATCAATCTCGAAAAACTCAAAATAAAAAACACTAAAAAGTCTCAGATCAACCTTATAAACAAAAACAAATGTCCACAATCCTATAACCAATTGAAGATCCATAGAAAAGAAAAGAACTTACCCCGCTAGCAATAATAACACCAACAACAACAGGAACAAGTGCTGCATAAGTAACCCAAGCTTCCCTCTTGAAAGTCATCAAGTAAGCAAAAACAGCAGTGAAAAAAGGTGTAGTAGCTCCAACAGCCTGATTAAAAGATACAGGCAAATAGCTCAAAGAAATATTGCCACCAACAACAGACCCACAGAAAACAACACTCAAAGTTGCAATCTTTATCAACTGGGGTCTTGATTTAACAACTTGCAAAGGCACAATCTTCAAGAAAACAATTGATAAGTAACTAAGTATAGCACAAGCTGACATATGGCACATTGTGAGAAAGATTGGGAATCTAAAGCCATAGTTTGATAACAAGAACTTGTTTAGAAGCAAAACACCAATGTTTGATGAGTACCAGAGGGCTATAAGACTAGCTATGAAAAGGGCTTCTTTTTTAGATGATGTCATTGTTGGGTTTCGCTTAGTTCTGCAAAAGATGATCTGTGTATCTCATTTGAGCTTCATCAATGGCAGTTTTCAGTGTTTTTTTTATGAGGTGGTGCTTTGTACTTTTGTTTTGAGGAATGAGAATGCGATAGGGTCAGAGAGTGTGAGTGTGTGTGTGTGTGTGTGTGTGTGGAATCTTCAAGGAAAGAAAGTGCAAAATACCAAGGGACAGTAAACAGTTGGTGTGATGGAATCTGCAAGGGACAGACTTTAGAAACAGAATCTTCTTAGACATAATTCCATCTTCTTGGGCAAGTTTCAACTACCTCTGGCTAGAATTTGTTTAATCATTGGTGGTAAAAATTATTCTATTATTGAATCGTTGAGTTTTTACTATAAGTTTAAGTTGATGACAGCTTTATTTTCTACAACCTTTGATGAAGTTATTTTAAAGGGTTAATTGCACTTTATACGAAGTTTACAAGCTTATAACATTTTAATTTTTATATAAGAAAATTAATATAAAAAAATATCGGATTATTTAAGAAGATGAGTGGTTTGGCCCTGGAATTTGATCAAATTCTCGACAAAATAACTGCAAAACAATTAAAAAATGATGCAGCAAAGGGATAGAGCGGCTACGAGTAGAGAAGGGTCTAAAGATTTGTTGCTTGAAAGTAAAGGATGATGGAGATTCCAAGAGCCCAAGACACAGCTAACGAAGACGACCCACGTCAAAACCTTGCTCATGGTATGCAAAGAACTAGTGAAAGATGAAGTGGGTTTTGACCAGCGAAGGAGTTTGTGAAATCACATCTTTTCCATAACAAAACCCAGTCTGGTTTCTATAAGGAAGATGAGAAAATCAGATTTTCCTCTCATGGCTAGATAAAGAAACCCAGGATCAAAGCCTTGTTGATGAATAGAGAGGTGGGGTTATCTTATGCCCAGGAATTGTAGAGTCTTTTCGATCCACGAGTTCTTGTTTTGACGGGCATGAGATACAAGCACAAATAAGATCGATGTTTGAGCCTACAGGTGTTTTCACCCACAGATTGGCAGTGCTCTTTCCTCCTCCGTAGTGTTTTCAGGGAACCTTTTGCTTCTACAGTAATGTGACCAGCATTGAACTTAGCTAGCCAACGGTAGTCTTTCATTCTGCTTCGCATTATATTTTTGTCTTTTCCTTTTTTCTTTTTATTTTATTTTTCCATTTTCTTTTTGGTTTTTCAAGTTCATAAATGAAAGGATCGAAAATGATGTCATTTCTAAGCCTAATCAAGGAGTTGTTTTAGCACGAGACATCTCGATTTTCCAATTAAATTAAGAAATAAGAGAGGATCAAGAAAGAGGATCAATTTTCCAATTTTTGTATTTGTTTTTAGATTTAAATGCACTGTAAAAAAATTTAACCTTATATTTCAATTTTAACATATTTTTCAAATAATATAATAAGTTTTTGTGAGAAAGTTAGTATTTTTTATGTGGAAATAAAAAACCTCGTGAATATTCAATTAGGATAGAATTTATGCCTTTGAAGTTTTTTAATATAATTTTATAATATTTATCAATATTTTTTTATCTTTAATTATATATAAAATACTAAAACTTTGTTTTCATTTTAATTTTTCTTTTAATATCATAAAGAATTTTTTAAAAGTTTATTTCTCTTATCATATAATTAAATAAAAAATAAAGTTATAAAAAAATAAAGTTATTAAATTTAATAAAATTTATAATCTAAGTGATAAATTTAATGGGAATAATCAGGTTAACTTAAATAGATTAAATATATTAATGTCTCATTAATTAAAAAAAATTATTATCTTAATTTTTTTATAAAATTAAATTATATTTTTATTAATTATTAAAATTATTTTTAAATATACCAAATTAATTAAATTATATTAAAATAATTTTTATATAATTTAATTTAAAATTAAATTATTTTAAGGTTTAACCTCGACACAAACTTTAACAACATTAACAGTAATTTTTTCATGGAGTAGACATTTTTCTTAAAAGTTTTTTTTTTTAAATAATCCGTATTAATTCCTTGTGGTCCTGGAACTCCTTTCAATTATCGGTGGCCCTAATGTACGTTTAACGATGGTCTGCTCTTAACCATCCGTTCAGCAGAGTCAACAAATGGATGGCCCAGATTTGGAGTGCAGAGAGTCAAAAGAAGTCAAAATGCAAAAGAGATCATCTTTTGAAAGGCCCCACCACGTGCGAACAACTTTGCATTTTATTCCTGTAGAAATATCCGTAGTTTTCAAATTACATTTTAAGTTTCAAATCAACGGCACAAAAAATAGGAAGGAAGGGTCATATTGTAAAACAATCAAAGTTACAGGACTTTATTTCACTTATGTAGCGGGTCCCACGTGCAAAGAAAAAACATGGACACAAATTCTCCCGTCTCTGTCTCCGACAATGCAAGTACAATATATTTCCCACTCTATCCTTTCAAGATATGATATTTTCCAAATTGCCATTTACCTTTTTGTCTCTCTCCTTCCCTCTTGTCCCTTTCATGGGCACGCTTTTCTTTTTGCTTTTACTCTCTCACTCACTGGTTGCTTACTAATCTCGAGATCTTGAAACCCTAAAAAAATATTAGAAAATTTTAGCGTTAATCATTCTCGCGCGTTCAGCAGCAATAGTACAAGCTACAGGTTTTTTTTAACAAAATTATTTCATTTCCTCCGTCATTTTCTTTCTGTTGTTTGGTTTCCAAGAAAATAAAAAAGCCACGTAGTCTCCACTTTCTAGTGATTTCCTTCTCATTTTCCGAATGGGTTTTCATTTTAAAGTGCAATGCTGGAGTTTTTTTTTCTCGAAATTATGTTGTGTTTTTTTTTTACTAAGTCATTTTTAGTCTTCCTTGTATTATTGGCTTTTTATTAGAGTTCAAAGCATTTAAGAAATGTATTAATGTATATAGGCGTAGGTGGTTTGTGCGGTTAATTAGTAACAGCGTCTAGTATAAGCCATTGTCAAGTTTTATTTGTTTTTATAATTTTTTTCCCTTCTTGAGCTGGTTTATGACTTTGGTAAATATATATGCTAATATTTTTCCTTAAAAACACTTTTTGGGCTTTAATTTGCTGTCAAATGATTAGAGTGTGGATTTTTCTTAATTTTTTTTGTTTATCTTTTCCTTTTCGGGTCCCAGATAGTAAATTACTTCGATTAACTTGTTTGTTTGTTTTTTTCATTAATTTTTAATCCATTTAGAATCTTGATTTATTATATAATAACGGGTTTTCTTTAAACCTGCTTTTGTTACTTTCTTGGTGAATTTTTTAGTGAATGGTGATTTATTTATGTGAATTTCAGGGTAACCCCACGTTGAAACTTAATGGATTGGGATCTTTGGGGTCCACCAAATGATATAGGTAAATGTTTATTTTTTGGACGAACAATATTCCTTCTTGATTTCTAATGTTGATTTTGATGATGGTTTTCTAATGGTTTTCCTCTTCAGTGGCAGAGGAAGGAGGTTTTGATAATTCCCCGTGTGACTTTTACTTTGGTTATGGGTTTGGTACATGCATGCTTTTTCCTAAACGACAACTTCTTTCTGACATTTTGATTGTTTGTGTGGATATATGTGCATGCAATAGTTCTTACTTTATTCGTTCAAAAATTTCGTAGATGTGATAGAAGAAGAAGCTCTGAACGAGAAATCTTGTGTGCAAGTGCTGAGGATTTTGATAGAGAAGGCAGATACCGAAATTCTTGAATTTGAACAAGATTTGTTATCCTTGCAGACTGAACTAGCTTGGGTTGAAAATGAAGATTGGCCTGATATATGTTGTAATGCTTTGAGAGAAAAGATTGATTTCCTTGATATTTCAATAAAAAATCTGACGAGCAAAGACAAGAATGAAATCGAGGTTCGTTTACTAATGTATACACAACCTGTTGAGACACTGGCCGAAATTTTGAAGGTGCTTTTCAGAAATTACATCTGCAAAAAGGATGAGCAGGTCTGATTCTTGAGATTTCTCAGCAGATATTTTGCCAATTTTCTGTTCTGAACTTGCAAATCATTATATAGGGGAATGTTTTAAAACCTCACATTAGTCTGAACACACAATTCCAGCGTTCCAGGGAGTCTTATATGAACATGCCTTATGAGTTGGTTCTTCAGCACTCAGCAATTTCTGCTTCAAATTACCTTTCATTTGATTAGGTAGCATGTCCCCGCTGTACTGACATACTCAGCTAATTTGTGTAGACTTTCACTGGTTTTGGTTTGTTGTGTGGATAGATTACTGATTCTTCACTGCTTGGAGGTCTCAAGGTTAAATGATATGCAATGTTTTTTTCCATCCTCTGGTCACTTGGGGGACTAGGATGTTTTAGTAGTTTGTCAAATCAGATCCCTGGGTTTGTACGACCCCAGTGTTTGCATCAATTAAGAGAAGTTAATTTCTGTGATTTTAATAAATTCAAATCTCAAATGATCGTATGTTTTACGATAATCCTTTACTATTATGTCTTTTCTTTCATCTAATTTTATTCCTGTGACCTGGTATGTGATAGTTATTCTTCCATCTCCTATTGAACAGCATAAGAATGCCATTGTCTTGGGTTCAAGCTCAGATGCTCCACAACATGCAACCAATGGTTTGGACAAGGAGAAAAGGTCGAGCAACTGCAATTTGGAAACAGTTACGAGTGAGAAAACCAAGGACTGCAGCTCTATTCCAACAGAACATTGTGCAATTTTGAATCCATCTGTGAATCTTCAAGGGAAGAAAACTGGCAATTCGATGGTCGTGAAGGTCCAAAAGCTCTAAACCCGCATGCTTTAGTTAGGCACGTGATTGTTTTGCAAATTTGATGGAAATATGTGAAAACCTGTGGTTTCTGGTTCAATCAAGGTCCTTTGTTCAAAGAAAGGGGTATAAAATGGTTGCCTTGATGCACTACAACCATTGAGTTTTCGTTAACTCCATTAAATTTCTGTGACCTGGCCGCTCTGCTGATGCATGTGCATTGTTATAACTGTTTTTATCAAGTAGCATCTCTCTCTGTTGTGGCAGTTCTGCTTCTGGACAGTTTTAAGTTTGTCCTGCTCCTGAATTTATACGCCCCTCGGCCACATGGACATATGCATGGCACTTGGAATATATTTTGTTCTGTAGAAACTAGAGTTTGAAAGGAAACTAAACTGCAAAGTTCAGTCAACATAACATTGTTTTTCCAGTGTCAAACGATTAATAAGTAATGAACTACCTTTCTTTTTTCTCCACTTACTGATTTGCTTTCTTTTCCTGCCATCTTATTTTAACAATGAACAGCTGGCAAGTTCTAATATCAAAGTCTCCGCCCCAGAGTCTTCAGAAGTGGCACCTGATTACTCTGATAAGAAGAAATCATTGAGCTTGTGTATTCCAAGAAGTACTAGGAAAGGGGATGCCATAGAGCATGGCTCAACTCCAGAAGATGAGAAACTGATCCAAAGCTTGTCTCCAAAATCTGCATATAAGGGAAGACATGGTCTAAAACCGGTCAATGTGGAGGTTGTTTTCTGTAAGCTGTTCTTTTATATATTGTGTGATTTGAGTGAAGCTCGATTATGACAAATTAATTCCATAACACTTTCCTACAAGGAAATAGTAATTACTTGTACAAGAGAGAGTCTATGGGATTAACTTCTTTGAGTAGAATGGTAGAATTTATTATTGCTATAACTCATAAACAGTAATTGCAATGAAATTTTAGCTTTTGCATGCATGATAGATATGCGGATCGAGAAACAAACCTGCGATGAGCAGGTTTGACACCTATCAATATGATGCCATCTGAAGAAGAAAAATTTATTATAAATTTACTCCTTAGCTTTCTTTTATTTTTACTATTGAGGAACTGAACATGGTTGTTTACTGGAATTAAAATAATCAAATGAGTTTGTTTCTCGATGTATATAGGAGGGTTATCAATGACATCAAGATAATAATATAGTAATGCCTGTTTATTTGCTGGAAAATAATTTTTTTTAAAGATAATAATACAGTAATGCCTGTTTATTTGATGGAAAATAATTTTTTTTTAAAGTGGATTTTTAGAAAGTAAATTATTTTTAGATATTCGGTAGTATCATAAAAAATAAGTTGGAAAATGTTTTTCAATAGTTGGTTATGTCATGAAAAATGAGTTGGAAAATAACTTATCAATATTTTTTTTTAAGTTTATTAAAATAATAAGGAACAAATATTACAAATTAAAAAGTTGAATGAGAATAAAAAAAATCTAATTTCATAAATTATCTCAAATAAAATAATGGAGATTAAATTTAATAGATAAAAAAATTGAAAGATAATGAAATTAAAATAATAATAATTACAATTTCATAAATTATTTCAAATAAAATAAGGATCAAATTTAACAAATAAAATTTTTTAATAAAAAATAATAAAAGAAAAACAAATAATAATAAAAACTAAAGTTAATATAAAAATTAAATCAAATCAAATTCTAAAGGGTAAAATTGAAAAAAATTTCAAAATAAAATATATAGTAATAAAAAATTTGAGAATCAAATTTATTATAACCATCAATTAATATGATATTTCAAAATTTTTCATAACTTTTGTAAAGTATTTTTTAAAAATAATTTTAAAAAAATTACCCTAACTTGAAAATGTCTCTATTTAAAATAATTTTAAAAAAATCATTTTTCATCCAAAACATGGTCTAAATACATTGGGAGTTTAGCCTCTATTAAATTACCCTAACTTTGGAGCACATGTTACTTGGATTGGAGCTGGTACCTGAGCAAGAAATGTTATATATCAAAAGACAATATAGAGATGCTTTTTTATTACTATTAAGCAATTATACAAAATATTCTTATTGCTAGAACGTAAATAGATGTAACTTGCAGAACTAATTCAAGGAATGGCTTTTTCAGAGTTTCAGTTTGGATTTGGAGTAAGTATGATTTCTAGTTGCTTTAGCAACTTGTAGATTGTAACATATTCAGTGGTATAACCTAGAAACTTCAGTCTACATGGAAATTAACACCTTTTGGAAATGACAACTGAAACCAGACATGAAGAGGGATTTTTGCCTGCAAGAGATTAGTTGTTGTCTGGTTTCATAATTTACTCTAAAATGATACCAAAAATAGTTATTTGCTGCTTCAAACTCTCATGACCCTCTTGTTCATTTCATTCATTATTCTAGCGTGAACCTTCATACCAACTTGCAGTTGTTTCTGTATATCTCCTCTGCCAAAATACCATGAGTGGAACTTTTCTAGTTGCACTTAATATTCATAGACTTTGTCAATTCCTGTTAAATATTTATATAAATGCTAATCTACAAGTGTACTCTGTTTTCTTTGATACTGAACAGCCTACAGAAAATAGTGCAAGTAATTCCACTATATATGCTTTGGAAAATGCAGTCACCCCCTCCTGTAAGGAAAAACTGGGTGATTCAGATTCAATTGCAACTGAAGAAGTTGAAGAACAGAGTTCTATATCTACAGCTGATGTTGTAACCTCAGTTGCTTCTTCAAAGTCTGTGGTGAAGAAAACAGATCTCAGGAAAATAGTCAAGGTACCAGTATCTTGCACTTCCACTTAGTTTTGGGCCATTATCTAGATTTTGTCATAGACTTAAACAACACTACCGTGCTGTGATTGGCTAATAACTCAAGCAAACTGAGCTATTTCTGTAGGTCAGCTTATTTACATGCAACCATAAATCAGGTTAGAGGCATGCTGGTGGTTGTTTTTTTGGGTGGGGTGGGGGTGTTAGGAGTCCGACTACTTTTCTCACCGAGTTCTTAGGGGGGATTTCTTTTTTTGTTCTTTCCTATTGCAATGAACAGCCTTCAAATACAGCTGCTAAAGATTTCGGCCCAAGTGGTAATAGGAATGCAGCAAATCACTCCAGAGAGATGAAAATGCTGGTGATGCCTGATCTGAAAGTAATTGGAAATGAAGAAGCCACAGGACTCCAATCTAGAGCTAGAGGCAAAAGTAAAACTTCGAGTTCATCTTTAAATCTGGAGGGCAGAAGAAATCTTCCCGGAACAGATGAGGTACAAGGTCTTCCTTTCTCATAGTTTGCATGATATGTTGCCTTTACTTGAAATCTTTGGTTTATACACCGTTCAAATTGTTGGACATATTGTATATCGATGTTAGCGTCACATGTTGAGGTCCAACTTCATCCCTGCCTCTTACTCGTACAAATTTCCTTTGAGCAGCCTGCAGGTGCTATTCTAAAAACTGTTCGTGCAGAAGCTCTAAGAAGTGCAGCTGGCCTCCATGGAACTATAGACAATTCTGATTGTGCACTAGGTACTTTTAAACAGGCTAAGGGCAGTAACTCTGGTATGGAGCAAAAATTGTCTGAGTTTCCTCCAAAATCAGCACTGAGACGAACCGTGAAAGAATTAAAGATTGCTGTAGCTCATGATGTAGTTTCATTGAAGTCACCTCGGAAGACAAATGGCCAAAAGAAAACTCCTTTAATTGTGAAGTTTAGAGAAACCGATCTAACTGACACTGAAAGTTGTGCCTTGACTTCACTTTTAGAGATGCAAGATCACGGAGGGAGAAATACAGCCAAGCTGCAGCCTGAGGAAGAAAAACCTATGCTGGTTGAAGTTCAAATGACTGAAATTTCTGCTGATGAGAAAAGGTCGAACTTGAATTTGTCCTTTATTCCACAAAAAGAAAAGGGAAAGAGGCATATCAAGTCAAATCCACCAATTCTCCATAAGATTGGTTTCTCCGAACTGATACTTAGAAGTTCATCTTCTATTTCTGAAAGCAATAAGAAACGAAAATCTGGAGCTGGCCCACAAAATGCCAGTCTAAACCAGACTTTGAGTAGAAAGATCACAAAAAAAGCAGCAAGGCCTGACAAGGTTGAAGCTAGAGAACACGGCGCTGAGACTTATAATTCCCCGAATTCAGTATCAGAGCCTCAGAAGAAAAAAAAGGTACGTGTAAATTTTCCACTCCCTTTGGGGACTGAAGATCCAGCCGTTCAAATGGATTTATCTAGTTCACATGGGGACACAATTGACGGTGCAAGCAAGGATGACCTTTCAGTTGAAGAGTCTTGCTCAATCTGTGATTCCAGTTCGAAGGTTGTGGCATCATTTTCTTCTGCTATAAGCACCTTGAGGGACTTGCCTTTAGCTGAACTGAGGATCATTGCAGGCCGACTTAAACTAACCAAATTCAGTAAGCTTCGGAAAGCGGTGCTACTTGAACAAATAACAGAGCGTCTCGTTAATTGAAGAGCATCCAAGTCGTACATATCACTAGCCGTCTTTCTTCTCATTATTTGCTTCCTTGTCCATGTTTTTGTAGGTTTCTCTTTGGACCATGTTTGAATGGCTCCACGGGTACAAACCACTGCATAACAGACCAAAGGTATGCCGCAATACCACAATGACCGAGCACATGTCCACTTGAGATATTGGCATGTGTATATATGAAAAAGGGAAAGTGAGATTTTGCAAATGGAATGAAAGCGGGCCTCCCTCTCTTCAGGTCCAGTTTAGGGTTTCATGGAGTGCTTGAGTTTTTATTGTTATGTATTCGCAATCTTTACGCGAGGGGATGAATAATAATACGGCTACTGTGAAAACTCATTCTTTTAGTGTAAAGCTCTAGTCATAGTGCCCCCGCGATCTGATTTTAAAAAGTTTTTCTGTTTTTTTTTTGCAATAATTAAAAAAAATATTTAAAAAAAAAGTTGATGATTTAAATTACAATTGTCAAAATTCCTTTTATATATATATATATTTGACGGGATAATAATCTTTTTATAAATAATTTTGTTATTTGAATAAAAAATTAAAAGAAATTAAATTAAATATCTATCTAAACTCAATTAATTTAATTTAAGAAGGAAAGAAAATACATTTTTAGATAAATTTTCATTTTTGTTATTCATTTATTTCTTTTAATTTTGGAAAAAACATGCTTTTTTAAAAAAAATTATTCAAATTAAAACTTATCATGATCTATAAAGTAAAAAATTAATTTTCTTTCAGGAAAAAACATTGAAAGAATAATTAATTGGAGAATATAAAATAAGAAATTGATGATAAAATAAAATAATATATATATATATGTTTTTTTATTCTCATTGAATATTTATGCATGTTCTTTTTTAAATCATACACATTTCACATATTATCATAAAAATGTATATTTTTTTTTGGCATGATTAAATGTTCAAATCACCTCCATCAAACACTTTTCAAATCTGTGTTTTTATTTTTATTTTTATGGCTAATCGAACTCTTTTCCATCTCTTTCTTTTTTGACAACTTTATATTCTTTTTTAATATCCAAGAACTAAAATACAAAAAAAAATGAATAAAATACAAAAAATTAAAACTACAAGGACTAAATGTGAAAAAAAACTAAAAATCTCAAGGATGTAAATGTATTTTTTCACGTGATATGAAAATTGCATTATAGATGCACAATGCAATCAACGGTGCATTACTCTCTATGTAAACAAAGGATGATATTCAGTAAAACACTACCCTCTTTTAGTGTTATTTTTATTTTATTACTATAATATAATTATAATTATTGTCTACAAAGGATCCATTATTACTTCTTAATTCTATACTTTGAAGCTTGATTTTTATCCTAAAAGGATGGTCTGTGTTTTTGTTAATCCATGCACTTTCACCTTTGATGTGAGTTTTGAGTTGTCCAACGAGATTGAATTTTCCTTTTCCTTTTTGTAATTATTAGATGAAAATCTGCATCTAGGATTTTGGTATTCTTGTTTTGTATTAGATCAATCCTGCTTTAATAACTTTAACTATGATCCTTCCATTGCTCGTCGTTCAAATTGTATATGAATGCGACACAGGATGCACTATCCATCTTCTTCTTTTTTCATGAAAAAATATAGTTATTAAATCCGATCTAATCTAATAAATTAATCTAATAATTTGTCATTGTAAAACCTCACGTGTATTAAATTTTATTTTGAATCAGTTTGAAAGCTTGACCTGATCGAACTCGACTATGTAAATTTAAAGAATTTATTTTTATTTTTATCTAAAATAATATGTTTTAGTTTTTTAAAAAATTAAAATAATATTGTTATAAATTTAACTATAGTAAATCCACGACTTAAACCTTAGACCAGGCCGAGTTGAAAAATGGTGCTAAGAAGAGAGAGTCGTCGATCCTAAACTATTACGGTTGATTGCTCCCAATGACTGTCTTCTTGATGATGGTAGGCATAGTGAGGTATTCAAGAATCCCTTTGGATTTTGCTGTAATTAGTTCTTCATGGCTTGAGACTGGCCATGTCAAGTCAAATCTGTTGGTGCAATGGCGAACTCCAAACATTCTGAATTCATGGCGGCTATAATTTTAAGCCCATCAAGTGTTTCACAAAAATAATGCAAGGTGATGAAATCAATCAACTAATTAAAGGCTTTGAGCTTTCACAATATTAAGACAATACAGAATACATTATAACAGCAATGTGTTTTTATTCAGAGGGTTCATTCAACAATTTCTTTTATATGTTTTACTAATTCCTTCATGATAACTTTTATTGGCAATGCAAAGTAGCCAAAGGTTGGCCAAGAAGAGAAGGCCTGTAGAAAGCATGGCTTTGAGCAATCTCGATGCGTTCCCGGGGATCATTCAGTGTTTCATCCCTTAGTGCTTGCAGAATAGCTTGTGATGATTGCTCCCTGAATATCCACATATCAAACACAAATGGAAGATTAGATTCATTAATGACAAGAATAAACTGCAACCATTGGAACAAAAGATTAAAAAAAAATGTTGTAGAAAAGGTGTTTATCAGCATAGCATGTACGTAGCTCTGGTCTAGGAATGAGATTTTCTACAAATTTCCAGAATGTATATCAAATAAGTACAATAAGAAAGCAAGACTCATGCAACTTCCAGCCATGGCTCCAAAAAATAAGTCATCTCTGCAGGCCTCGTAAAATTGAAAGTTTTTTGAAATCTGACTTGTTGTGTTCGATGATAAAGTTGCACTGCAGTATGAGATTACCTTATTATCAGTATTTTATACAATGTTTTCAAGATCGGGCAGAGTTCAACAGGTGCAACAGGTTTCTTTTCATCAGGGTGTAACACACTCAAGCTTGACTGGCTCAGGAGTTCATAGAATGCTCCAACTGCCGAAACACCCTGCAATGAGAAAAACACAACAGTCTAGGAATTGTTATACCCAGCTAGTTTGGGATTGAGGAAAAGAATATCCCTCAAATTGAGCTTAGGATGTTATACTGGTATGATGATGAATGTTCCATTACAAGCAAATCCATGAGATCAGTACAGCAATCCTGAGGTAGAAAGCAGGTAAAACCACCACCTCAAGTGCATAGATTTTTTTCTCTTCTTTTACCCAAAGGTCATTCATAGTTGAAAGAGACATTTAAACTGAGTTTGAGAAAGTGTAACGAACTATCTTCCTTATGTATCCTAAAGTACTACCACAATCTGAACATACAATATCTCTCAGAGTGAATGATTCCATCTCATAAAATTTGAAGAAGTGAGTCAAAATGATATTCAGTACCTGAATCATTCCTTTCCCACTGATGTTATCACCAATATCCCGGCTAATTTCCCCTTTGGCTAACATTTGGCCATACCATGCATTACGACCCTTTAACAAGGTTACATATGTGTCCGCCAGCAAAGGCCCTGCAAGCTTCTCAGGTTCTTCAGCCAATAGATGAGTAATAAATATCATCTCTGATGTACAATGTGCAAAGTAGACTGACTTGCTGGTAGCACTTTCATTAGTAAGGGCCGCTACCATCCCTATGAAAATCAAATTGGAAAATTGAGTTTGCAGATGCAAAGCAAAAGGTTAATATTACAAGCATTTGTCATTCATTTTGCTTATTGTTTGTAATAATGTGCAGACATACAGCATGGTGTTCAGCACCATGCTCAGCAACAATTCACAATTGCTGAACCAATACCATTCAAAATTGCTAGGCTTTAGTAATATACACTTGATTCAGTTCATTACAGAATTTATTGGTAGAATTACAGAGTTATGGTGTGACGTTATGGAACCATTCTGTAAAAAGACAATAATTGTGATGCTTTCAAGAAGGCATTACACAAATTGCATCATTAACCATGTTTTCATATCCTTGAATCGATAGCTAGAGATAATGACCAGGCAAGAACCAGGTAACCTCTGGAGTCTGGCCATGCATCTATAGGAGATATTGGTTTGTGTAGAAATAGAGTTTAAACATTTTTTAGCAAGAAGAAAGTCAAAACTCACCAGCTCCAATGGCATAGACATTCTTCAGGCCACCCATGACTTCATGAGTGACAAGGTCACTGTTGTCCCATACAATGAAATGGGGCTGCCTCAAAAACTTAGCAAGAGGCTTTCTCCACTTGTCAGCTCCACATATTCGAGCATTAGCATATTCCTTGTTGTATATTTCTGAAGCAATATTTGGTCCACCAAGATAAAGTATATTCTGCATTGGAACTCCAGCTACCAAGCATAAACAACATTAAGATGAGGGCAATTTCTGAAGTGGAGAAAATACTGACAGAAATGCATAAGAATGCAGGGTGGACAGAAGAATACAGAATCACTGAAATTTCATGCTCCGAGGACTTCAATTATAAGGATTATCAAATGATGGAAGAATTATTTATTATACAATTGGATGGGAGGGATACTTGCATTTGAATAGCATTTTCATTGTTAACAGCATACAGCAAATGCTAAAGATGTAGATTTGTAAAGTCTTAAACTTGAATGAATCTGCAGTCAGAATGGATTGTCATAAGTTTGGTTGAGCATGAGTAGAACGGACACCAGCGAAACAAAGAAGCTAGCTAGCATTGTTCACGAGTATGAACAAAGCAGTTGAACTAGCTAATAAAGCTTTTAGATCAAACAAGTAAAACCAGACAAAGAAGCATGGTGTGATCATAAAATTGCGAGAGATAATTAACAAAATGTTGCATTATGATTTATGGATGAGAAGGCAAGGAATTTTTTTCTTTTTAAACATTCTGATTCGACTTCTTCCGTGTGCTTTGAGACTCGGATAGAAGAGCACTTACTCGCTCTGTTAATCATTTGTGTAGGTGTGATTATATGGGGAACAGGTTCTAATGCAGCTTCTATACCCTTCGCCAAGGAGATGATGATGGGTGTTGTGATTCTCTCCTTCCAATATTGGCTAATCTCTTCAAACACCTCGCGTGTCTCTGTGGAAGGCACAGCATTTACCACAATATCAGCATCCCAAACAGCCTCTTGCAAATTAGTCACAACCTTCAAAGGACAAAGTGGTACATCAATCATGTTCAAGCAAAATCCATCCTTCAAAATCTCATCAGCGAATAGAGTCCGATCGCCTAGCCTGGCCTCAACGTACTTCAAATATGCACATCGC